CTATAACCCTTCCCAAGTAGTCTATTCAACTTTTTCAGAATTAAAACTGTTTTAAAAATGATATTAATAATATTTTTTTCCTGCTATTAAACTAAAATCTGCCTCTCCACAATTTTTGCCCATTCCTTTTAGTTTTGCCCTCTGGAAAAATCTAACCTCTCTTCCACATAGTAGTCTTATAAATACATGAAGGCAGCTATCATGACCTTCCCTTAAAAGACCAAGTCTTCTCTTTTCCAGGCTAACTATCTGCAGGTCTTCCACCTATCCTTGTATCTCACAGTTTCAAGGCCTATCACCATTCCGGTTACTCTCTTCCAAAGTGCTCCAGCCTGGGAATGGTCTTGCCTAAAATTTGGCTCCTGGAATGTTTCTTCAAGGCACTTGGCAAGAAACAGAGGAGAGGAGCAGAGGAAGCTTTGCTAATCCTACTAAATAACTATTCCCAATTCTAGGGCAGCTTCAGACTCTCAGACTACAAGTCAAGCCAATGAATATTTATGAAGCACCTAAGATGCATCCAGAATTTCCTAAGGACATTTTCCTAGCCTCTGAGGAATTCATGCCCTACATTAAAAGAAAAAACTGTCTTGTTCTTCTGGCAGGTAGGTGGATAGGTGGTACAGTGGATAGAGAGCTGAGTCTGAAGTAAAGAAGACCTGAATTCAAATCTTACCTCAGATATTTACTGTGTGACCTTAAGCAAGTCACTTAACCTCTATCTCCCTTAGTTTCCTCAACTGTATAATGGGAATACCCATAGCACCTACTTCCTAGGGTTTTTGTGAGGATCAAATTAGATGATGCTTATAAAGTACTTAACACAGTGTCTGGCACACAGTAGGTGCTTAATAAATGTTTCTTTCCTTCCTTCTATTGTCTCCCACTTCATTTTTGGGGATGTAGCACATAGAAGACACCTGATCATTGTTAAAACATTTGCTTTGGGATCAGGGGCTTTTTCTCTTGGCATATCACTCTCTGTGCCCCATTCACAAAGGGGACACAAAACCCCTAAGCCATCCACTGCTGTTATGCTACAAAAACAGTAGCTGATGGCATCTTGTCTTTCTTAACCATCTACTGAGAATAACAGTACCTGTCTGGCCAGACTCCAGTGATACTCAAACAGGATAATTTATGCAAAGATTTTTGTGAAACTGTGAATGGCAGCTCTCGAGTTGTGCCGCAGCCTTCCCCAGAGGACTCAATAAATGAATGGGATGCTAAGCCATCTCTGTCTGAAGGCTTCAGACAATGAGAGTGCAAAGGCAAACTTCAAGCTCTGTCTGAGTGACAGTGAGCTCCAGATTCCTGGGATGGAAGTCATTGAGGTTTTCAGGTCTGAATATATTCTGACTCAAAGCACAATGCAGGACCCCAGCAGTCCTGATCCCAGTCTCTGGCAAAGTATCCTTGAAGGAAAGAAGAGAAACAAGTAAATCCAGGTGACTGAGTAAATAGAGCCATGAAACCAAGTGGTAAAGCTCTCTATACTTCTTAGAACCTTAAGGTAGAATGAATTGGAGTGCCCTGGCGCATACAGATGAGCATTGCTCCATGTGCCTGAATGTTAGAGTCTATATCACTGACATGACATAGGTTTGTCATTGACACAAGAGGCTCAGCATTGAGTCTATATAGTTCTCTAACTTTAGTCAAGTCTTTTCACTGAGGGGGCCTCAGATTGCCTTTCTGTAGAAAGAGCCAATTTTGATAGACTTAGCTCTTCTTAGCAATACAATGATCCAAGACAATTCCAAAAGACTCATAATGGAAAATGCTATCCATATCCAGATAAAGAACTACGGAATCTAAATGCAGATTAAAGCATACTATTTTCTCTTTTTTGTTGTTTTCTTTCTTGTGGTTTTTCCCGTTTGTTCTGATTCTTCTTTCACAACATGACTAATGTGGAAATATGTTTAATGTGATTGTACATGTATAGCCTCTATCAGATTGCTTGCCATCTTGGGGAGGGGGAGGAGAGGGAGACAGGGATGGAGAAGAAATCTGGAACTCAAAATCTTATAAAAGTGAATGTTGAAAGCTATCTTTACACGCAATTGGAAAAAACAAAATACTATTAAGAAAAATTAATTTTAAAAAATCCTGTCCTTCCTTCCTATCTTCTTCTTTCCTTCCTACCTTCCTTCCTTCTCATCTTACTCTCTTTCTTCTGATTTTCCTTCCTACTTTTCTTCCTTCCTATTTTCCTTCCTCCTACTTTCCTTCCTTCCTTCCTTCCTTCCTTTAATAGAGATCTTGCAAGATTCCTCCGAATCTGTCCATTTTGTCATTTCTTGGGGCACAATAATATTCCATTAAATTCATATACCATAATTTGTTTGGCTACTCCCTAATAGACAGGCACACCCTTAGTTTTCAGTCTTTGGATACAATAAAAAGTACTGCTGTAAATATTTTTGTATATATGGGTCCTTTTCCTCTTGATCTCTCCAGTGGGTAGCATGCCTGGAATTTCCACTCTCCTCTTCTTTGTCTATTGAATTCCTACTCATCCTTTAATATACAACTCAGAGAGCATCTTCTTTGTGATCTTTTTTGGTCCTCACATATTACGCCAGAAATTATTTCTGGGAGAACAAGGATCTTAAGTGTATAGTGCCTTGTTTGTTCCTCTGTAATATAATCATCAGGCATTATTATTATATGTTGCAAATATCTATGTATCCTTGCTATCCTCTTCCTAGACCAGAAGCTCCATGATGGTAGGCACTACATCTGATCAAAATCTTTCTCTCTCCCTTTGCCTATCATAGCTTTACTCCTAAGAATTGGGAGTAAAATATATTGTTAACAGTTCTTTTAGAGCACTGGTTAGAAATTTTGTCTCTTGGATCTAGTCATGTTTTTCAATAAAGATAATATACCATAAAAATGAGAACTTAACTCTTCTCTAGAGATAAATGCAACACTCTGGAACATCAATACGTTTTGAGAAAACTTTAACAGAGTCACATTGTAGGAGGTGCTCTCCTATTTAGATAGCCAAACATTTTTTTTGTGCTATAAACTTAACCCTAACATATGCATGTCACCAAAAGCTGACAATCACAGGGACAAACCAGTGCACACTGTAGTCACTACGTCAAGGCTTCTTGAACTTGTGGAGTGTTATACCAAAGTGGCAAAGTTTCAGGAAGGAAGGCAGTAGCACATCCTTGAGCAAACTTTTTCTAGGGAACACAAATCTACTAGAACAGTTACAAATAATTTACAGTATAAACACTATCTCATTTGCCCTAACAGGATGTCCTATGACCAACCAAATTACTATAGCATGTGAAACACACCAACAATTAACATTGGAATCTTCCTTTCTAAACAACCCTGACCATTATTACATTTGTCTAGCTCTGGGAGAGATGAGAAAGAAGAAAAGCAGCTGCTGAGAGGCATCTAAATCACTGATACATGACAAGATACAGCCCTATTCACATCAGATTGTTTTGAGGGGGAAACCAGGCCTTTTAATCTATACACAGGTTATCAGTACAGATCCACTCCCTTTCCTCAGTCTTTGATACTTCCACATTCCTCCTCTCTTCAGGCTGCAGAATTGTTGGAAAGCCTCCTTAAACTAGAAAGCCTTCTTGGGTTAACTAAGCCCATTTTCTCCTCCCAACACAATCTCTGACTGGCTCTGTTTCATTGGCATACTTCTTTATTTAAAATAATGATATATCAATCAACAGGCATGTGTCTGTCTTTTCTCTCCTATTAGAGGGCAGTGATTGCCTCCCAAAGGGTGGGAATCCTTCTGTTCCATACTCTGAACCTCTATAAGAATCAAGAAAGTATTATGAGGACTGCCTCAGAAACAGGTGTTATTAAGCCAGAAATCGTTTCTGGAGAACAAGGGTCTTAAATCCTTTTTACACTACATGAGAAAACACCTCCGAGTTCTAATTAAGTTGCACCAATTAGCCACCCACAGATGCTTAGCGCTGCTTCCCAGGGTCAGGCAATCATCTCTATTAAAACCAGTTTTGAAGTAAGGAGTAAACTCAAAAGCATCTCTGGCACTGGTTTCCTACAAATCAATTACCCTTTTAGACACTTTCTGTAAATACTCTAAAACCAATGCTGTTTCAGCCTCCTAATCCAGTGAAGGGTTTTAGGATTGAGCTGGTTGCAAAAGGCTCATCATCTGTCTTTGCTGAGGAGGCAATTGCAAACAAGAGGTGAAAGGAGGTGTAAGGGAGAATTCGGGGGAGCATGAAAATCCACTCACTGTCCACTACAGGATCTGAGTGGTGTAGCTAGCTGGATTTTCTCAAGCAAATGGTGAGTCCAGGGTTTCCAATAAATGCTACTGTTACAATAAAGTTTTTCTCTGTTTGGCTGAACTATTTACCAGCAAGTCCATCTTTGGAAATAATGCATCAAATGGGATGTTTATGGCACAGAGCCCCTATTTTCCAAAGGTTCTCACTAAGGTACTTTCCACATCCACACTCTCATCAGAGCAGTTCTTTACTAGTCCATTGTGGACTCAAACCAATCTGCTATGTAGACCCCAGAAACCACGTCAACTGCCTGATTAGACCCATTAAGTGTTGCCATATTAAGGTATTTTACAAATGAAGCCCCAGTGTCTCAGATGCATGTCCCTTCCCAATTGAAGCCATTTCCACTCCTTCCACAAGCCTCCCTCCAGCCAAAATCCAATCACAAGAAATGTTTGTTTCCCCTCTGCGGGGTGATGGTAATCATGATGTAAAGAATAACAGCTGGACAATTAATTAGAATTCAAACTTCCTCATCAAATGTTAGGGCTGTTCTTCAATCTATCCATGTTTATTAGTCAACATGATACTTAGCTCAACATCAAGCTTTTCTCCCATTTGTTTGGGTTTTTTTCTCACTAGTACAAAAACATATTTTTCATAGCCGCCCCAGCCACAGCCCTGTATCCATTAATCAAAAGGTGTGGCCAAACATGAAATCACAAACACAGTGCCTCTAGTACTTACAGCCAATCATCATTATAGCGACTGCAAAGATCTTCTCTATGTCTGTGGAGGGGGCAATGTTCCCGAACCCCACGCTGGTGAGGCTGGTCATGGTGAAATACAAGGAAGAGATGTAGACAGAATTCTTACTTGGGCCACCTTCCCACTTCCCCAGGCCAGACACATTGAACTGGTAAGGCGTCCCAGCATCCATAGCCAGCTGGTAGAGCCAGCTGTTGTTACGGATCATTTTTGTGTCCTCGTCAAAGATCTCATAGTCCCCGATGCTGTACCAGATACAGGCCATCCAGTGGGCCGCCAATCCAAACACACACACCAGCAGGACAAGGACCGCAGCTCCATACTCAATGTAGTGATCCAACTTGCGGGCCACTCGTCCCAGGCGTAGGAGTCGGACAACTTTCAGTGAGCTAAACAGGCTGCTGATTCCCTGTGGAGGAAGCAAAGAGCAGTGTGAGATACCCATAAAGCAATGATTCTTCCTCTGAAACCATGGTTTTCCACATTGAGAATACTTCCCACAGATGTTCCACTGAGTGGGCATCCCATTCCTTATCAGCTATATTCAATTCAATTCAAAATGCATTTATTAGACACTTATGTGTTAGGCATTAAAGACACAAAGATGAAAACAAAGCAGTTCCTGACCTCAGAGAGCTTAAATTCTATGGGGAGAGCCAAGAAGGAAGAAGCTTTGAAGTCTTTTTTTTGACAGAGTCAAAAATTCTAGAAAAGGCATATCATAGCTACCAAGCTCTGACTTCGGTATTTGTTAGAAAACAAGTTAGATCTTTTTTAAAAAATTAATTTATCTGATTTATTAACAATCATTTCCATAAGCTTTTGAGTTTTAAATTTTTCTTCCCCTTTCCCCCCTCCCTCCCCAAGATGGCCACAATCTGATATAGGCTGTACATATACATTCCTATTAAACATATTTTCACATGAGTGATGTTGTAAGAAAGAATTAGAATCAATATGAGGAACCACCAGAAAGAGGAAACAAAACACAACAGAAGGAAAAAAATAGCAAATAGTATGCCTAAAGTCACACAGCCAACAGGTGTCGGAGTCAGAGTCAAGATTTTAACCTTTCTCTGACTTCAAGGTCAGCTCTCTTATACCACACTTCATATATATGTATGTATGTGTGTGTGTGTGTGTGTGTGTGTGTGTGTGTGTGTGTGTGTGTGTGTGTGTGTATATATATATATATATATATATATATATATATATATATATAAGTGCTCCCCTGTGTAAAGATTTTACAGTGCCTCCCATTATAGGGGAATGTAAAATCTTTGAGGGTGGGAATCTTTGTCACTTTCTCTTTCTATCTTCAGTCCCTTACTTGTAGTAGGTACTTAACAGAGGACTGGACTGGAACTCTAGTTTTATCCACAAAGCAGACACAGAGAAAACCTTTCAGTACAGTAATCTCTGAAATATAACTAATGATTTTAGGGCCTGGGGCAAAACCAGTCAGTGATTTGGGCTCACACATCTGTTCTTAAATATATCATCTTCTTACATTCATGATGTAATTAATCTTGGTGTATACCAATACCCCACTTATAGTGCACTTGTTTCACGTTTTCCTTTTTACATCATTAACAGCTGGAACTCGAGCTTTTTAAAAAGCATTATTAGTTATGAACAGAATTTTTTTCTCACATCTTCTGAAATACAGTGGCCCTTGTAAATGAAAGATTATATTATCCACACTTTTCCCCCTCTCAGAACACTAAAAAATATTTCTACAGAGAAGATCACCATATGTCAGAAAAACATATTCCCCCTGGGGCTTCTTTAAGAGAATCTACCTCCTCCTCCAGATAATTCCAGAGAGTTCTCTGCCACAGTTTTTGGGATGTGAGGTACCCATAATTCCAGGTTGGGGTAAACAGAAGGGAAAAGTTATAATAATTATCTTAATTACTGAGATCAGAAGATTTAGATCTAGGAGGGGGCCTAAACACCAGCTAGTCCATCACGCTCATTTAACAGAGGCAGACTAGTAAGGAGAAGAGTTTCCTAAAATTACGTAGTGAATAAGTAGCAAAGCCTGGATTTGAACTCAGGCTTGTCGAGTCCAGACCTAGAGCTCTCTTCATCATACCAAGTTATCTCTGAAAAAATAACCTTTGGAGAGAAAGGCTTTTGGAACCCAATAATCCCCACCTGAGTCTGTAGCTCAAGTACAGATGGGGAAGGTGTTTATGGAGTATCTGGCTTATGTGATCAATTGGATAAGCTAGAAGCTTGGTTATTCCTCGGCTGGGTCAAAAGAAAATAGATAATGGCTTCTTCAATTCACTCAGTGGTCTTGCCTCTCTCAAGTGAACAGCCTTCAGAGGTTTTTGCTCAGATCATAGAGTCACAGGTAAGAACACATGTACATAATATTTGAGAATAAAAACTATTGCCTACTCTTTCATATCTCAGATGGTTCCTCCAAACTTTGGGATATTCACTAGGACACAATAATAAAGAGTAATAAAAAAGAGTAAACTAGAATAAGGAAATCCATGACAAGAGGCAGCATGACACAGTGGAGAGTACACAGGAGGATCAGGGTTGAAATCCCACCTTAGCCATCTATTAGTCGGGTTACCCTGGGTAAGTTACTTAATTGCTTTCTGCCTTAGATTCCTCACCTGGAGGGAAATAGAGCAAAGGCTGATTACATGGTCTCCAATCAATCAACAAGTATTCATTAATTGGACAGCTAGGTGGCCCAGTGGATAGAGTGCCTGAAGTCAGGAAAACTCATCTCTGTGAGTTCAAATCTGGCCTCAGACACTTCACCCTGTTTGCCTCAATTTCCTCATCTGTAAAATGAGCTGGAGAAGGAAATGGCAAACCACTCCACTATCTTTGCCAAAAAAAAAAAAAACAAACCCAAATGGGGTCACAAAGAGTCAGACATGACTGAAGTGAACAACAAAATCTATTAATCATCTACTGTGTGCCAGACACTGTGCTAGGTACTGAGGATACAAGCACAAAGAAAGAAGTAATCCATATGAACTCGCGTTTCTTTTTCTTTTTTTTAATTTTAAATTTTTTTAAATTTTGATTTATCAACAATCACTTCCATATGCTTTTGAGTTGAAAATTTTTCTCCCCTTCCTCCCCCCCCACCCTCCCCAAGACAGCGCACAATCTGATATAAGCTTTACATTTACATACCCATTAAACATTTTCACATTAGTGAAGTTGTAAGTAAAAATTAAAACCAATAGAAGGAACCACCAGAAAGATGAAACAAAACTCAACAGAAAGTAAAAATAAGTGATAGCGATTCGACTTCCATAGTTCTTTCTTTGGATGTGGACAGCATTTTCCATCACGAGGCCTCCGGACATGTCTTAGATCCTTGTAATGCTGAGAAGGGTTCAGTTTAACAATATTAGTCATCGTGTAATGTGGCTGTTATTGTGTACAAAGTCCTCTTGGTTCTGCTCACTTCACTCAGCATCAGACCATACAAGTCTTCCCAGGTTTTTCTGAAGTCAGCCTGTTCATCATTTCTTATAGCACAATAGTATTCCCTTACATTCATATACCACAACTTGCTCAGCCATTCCCCAATGGATGGGCATCCTCTCAATTTCCAATTCTTTGCCACCACAAAAAGAGCTGCTATGAATATTTTTGTACATGTGGGTCCTTTTCCCATTTGTTTGATCTCTTTGGGATATAGCCCTAGAAGTTCTATTGCTGGATCAAAGGGTATGCACATTTTCGTAGCCCTTTGGGCATAGTTCCAAGTTGTTCTCCAAGATGGTTGGATGAACTTGCATTTTAAGAGGAAAGATAACAACTTCATACATATATGTGTGTGTATGTGTGCATACGGCAGAAAGTGAAGAACTAAATATAATAGCTAGCATTTATGTAGTCTTTAAAGGATTACAAAGTATTTAACATGTTTTAAGTCATTCTATCCTCTCAACAGACCTGAGGTAAGTACTATTATTATCTCCATATTATAGATGAGGAAACGGAGACCCCAAGAGTTTAAGTGACTTGTCCAGGCTCAAACAGCTAGAAAGTGTCCTGAAGCAAGATTGCAACACAGGTCTTCCTGACTCCGAGTGCTGCATTCTAGTCCCAGCCGTGAAGGATGATCCCAACTAAGCAGTTAAATACAAGGCAGTTTGGGAGGGAGGGCACTGGCAGTTAGGGGGATCAGGAAAGGCTTCGTGTGGATGGTGGTGCTCGAGTCACGTCTTCAAAGAAGAGAGGAGCAGGCAGAGGCAGAGGTGAGGGACTTTGAGGAAGGGCATTCCAGGCATGTAGGGTAGCAGGTACAAAGGCACAGTCACAGAGGGTGGACTGTTAGCTATGAGGGATGGAGAAGGCAGCTTGGCTGAATCACAGAGTATAGAAGGGAGAGTAATGTCCAATGAGGCTAGATAGAAAGAGCAGGAAGAGCTTTAAAAGCAAAACAGAGGAATTTACACTTTATCCCCAAGGAAACAGGAAGCCGCTAGAGTTAACTAAGTAGGTGAGATCATAGGGACAGATCTGAAATAAGAAAAATTACTCTGATGCAATTTGTAGAAGGTACTAGAGTAGGGAGAAAATGTGAGGCAAGGAGACCAATTGGGAGTCTATTGCAATAATCTAGGCAAGAGGTGATAAGAGTCCTGACCAAAGGTGGTAGCTGTGTGAGCAGAGGGAAGGGTTCAGATGTGAGAAATATGAAGGTAGAAATTGCAAGATTTTGCAACTAACTAGATCCGTGATGGACAAAGAGAAGTACAAGATAAAGCCGAGGTTAAAAACCTTGAAGACTGAAAGGATATTAGTGCCTTCAACAGAAATAGGGAAGTTTGAACAAGGGGAGGAAGGGAACCAAGAGAGAGTGCTACAGGCACTTCTCACCTTACATGAGTGAATCTATCTGCAGACTTCTGCATAAAGTGATTTTTACTTAATGCAGATCTGCCCCTACCCACCCACTTCTCTTAGCTTATATAACAGAGGCATACACAAAATAATACCTTTACGCAAATCATAAAATGCACTGAAATGCAAATATATTAAATACTATACTATGATAAAGACACAATTATGAAATGAAAGGTTAAGTTAATGATAAAGTATGCACAATACTGTATAGCAAAGTTAACAGAGGTATGCAGTATGTTGCCCTTCCTCTACTGACTGCAGCTAGACTTTATCATTGGTGATTGGCTACCCAATGGTTTTTTTTTAAGCAGTTGGGGTTAAGTGACTTGCCCAGGGTCACACAGCTAGTAAGTGTCAAGTGTTTGGTCAAGGCCGGATTTGAACTCAGGTCCTCCTGACTCCAGAGCTGGTGCTCTATCCACTTCCCCACCTAGCTGCCCCTTCCCCCAACGGTTTTTTATGAAGCTATTGAGAGATGTTTGGACAGTGACTCTTTTTTTCTTCCCTTCC